AAATACTGCTGTCCAGAAGTGCTTTGCCCCTGCGGAAGCTCCAGGGAAGGTGAAACAAAGCTAAAACCTTGAACTGAATCTTTAGGGACTTACCAGACTAGAAAATGCACACAACCACACCGTTCTTTTCGATTAGATCTAATATGTATGTAGTTCCCGCTGGTAACAGCAGTCTGCACCAGGCCGAAGTCTTCATGATTGTTGCCGAATTGGGGAGGGGAGCCTGGTAAGTGAGTATGTTAAAATACCAGTTTTACCCTAAAAATCTGCAGCTACATTCTTCATTAAGCAATTCCTAGATTGTAAGTGTTGATTTGATTCCAGAGTTCCAAAAAACTGATTCTGATAGTTACTGTCAGCATATTCATTGCTTTTGTGAAAGAATGGAGTTTTAGAATTCCCCACTTTGCCATTTTTATTGACTTCTATGTGCATATACTTTATAACATATCTGTGAACTTCTTTCTCTACAGTGTAGAATTCACAGAAAAATAATAAGAATGTGAAAGAATTCATTGAGATTATTACCACCCCATCTCATAGAGTTGCTAAAGAATAAACTGTGGTGGTGCATAATGTCATTGGTGTAACAAATTCAGGATACAGATAACTTCTGGTAGGGGAGAAGATTTGATGATAGTGGTAGGGTTGGATATACAAGAATGGTGAAAAGATGGCTCTTTGACAGATTCTTTATATGTTTTCTAAATATTTGAAATTCTTATAATTTCCGTAGCTATGGATGGGCCTATGATGTGCTTATAGAACATTAATTCTGACATGCAAATATTTTGTTAAAAAATTACATGGAAGAATCCTTTACTTATTTGGTAATTGGTGTAGATTGCTTATTTTATAGCCTCTAGATCTTATTTTGGTTGTTTTCTCTCTTTCTGCAAGCTTTTCTGTAGGAACAAGAATAAGAAATCTTGAGTATCCTCATTGTAGTGGATATTCTATCTTTTTTTTTTCTCTTTGTAGAAAAGAAAAAATAGAATACTAGAAGTAGCACTGAAATGAATATTGGGACATCTTTTTCTCCTAATTATCTAAGTATAAGCATGGACAATTTATTTTTCTAGTCTAACCTATTTTTCATCTTGATCCTCATCTGTTAATTAAGAGTGGCACTAGGTAAGGGCTATTTTAGCTCAATAACATTAGAAGATTTAACATGATTCTGTGGAAAAAGTATAGAGTTTAGAGCCAGATAAATTTGTGTTCAGTTACTTTCTGGTTAAAGTGTGAAGTAAGCTATCTAGCCAATCTAATAATTTTCTCATGGTTAAGATGAAATTATTACCACCCCATCTCATAGAGTTGCTGAAGAATAAACAGTGTTGGTACATAATGCCTTGTAAGTGATAACTAATGCAGTCTGCTCACTAGCGTCCTCCATGTCTCCATCCCACTATACATTTGAAGGAGTAGCTGGAATGAAAACAATTTTTAAGCTTTTATTTTATTTGCTTTTATATATGAACTAGGGCTCAGTGCACAAATTCATGTTCCTTGAAAAGAACTGGGCTGTAGGCTGTGGTGGGCACAGGGGCAGGTCTCAGCCCATCCTCTGCACTCCCACTCAGCCCCTCCCATCAAGGCCCCCAATCACCTGGCTTCTAGCAGCCCTGCTTCTGCCACAGCAGATCCCACGTGCCGGCCCCTCTCGCACCTGTTGACTGCATGGAGCGATTGGGGCTGGCACTGGCAGTGGGTGTGAGCAGCGGCTCTGGCTCCGGCAGTGGGTGCAAGTGGGGCCAGCGCCAGCAGTAGTTGTGAGTGCTGGGTGGGACCACAGCACACAGGAACAAAGAATTCAGTAACTAGCAGAAGCTTGCCCCACTGATAGCGACCAGCGCCCACCTTGGTGTGGTGCCCTCACTCACCTGCTCCACCATCCTGCCATGGCTGACACCCGCCATTTATTCATGCTCTGCTGCCTGCTGCTGACGCCAACCATGTTCTGTGTGTGCCCCAGGTGGTCAGCGCACATCATACTGACCAGTTATTCAGTTGTTCATTGTTCTGCCGTTTGGTCTATTTGCATATTAGCCTTTTCTAAGCCGTCAGTAGACATCCTTAGCATTGCCATGGAGGTGGGAGAGGCTCCCACCACTGCCCTTGTGCTTGCCAGCCATGAGCATGGCTTCTGGCTGGGTAGCGCTCCCTCTGTGGGAGCACACTGACCACTAGGGGGCAGCTCCTGTGTTGAGCATCTACCACTGCTGGTCAGTTTGTGTCATACTGACCAGTCATTCCGCCGTTTGGTCGATTTGCTTATTAGCCTTTGCTTATTAGCAAATTAGAATTTGCTTAAGAGAAATACCCAACTCATATTTCTACTCCTATTTTCAGTTTTACCAGCCTGGGACTAGGCAGAAAAAACAAGTATCTTTGCTGCCAGATAGGTGAATTGGATTTGGGTCTGCTGGTGGGGAAACTATGCCTTTGTCAGCTAAAAGTAGCAAACCAGATCTGAAGGAAAGAGGACAGACAGCCAAAAGCTTTGCTGATCAGGCAAGACCTCTTTGCTTGTCTTAGAGCTTTGGCCTGAGGGGCAGGCCTTATGTTTGGCACAGGTCTAGTGTCCTAAATAGCTGCTTTCAAGGATTATAGGCTCTGCACACCTCTTGGTGTTCTCCCTCTGCCTTGCTCCAGAAAAAAAGCTTTTATAAGTATCTGGAGCCCTTATTTTTGCAATTGCCACCAGGGGACACCTCCAGATCACCTGGCTCTGATGGGTAGCAGGGTCCCACAGACCATATATTCGCATACTTTTAAAAGCTGCTTCCTGAGAGCATGGCTGCCAGTAATCCTGTATCTAGGTGCTTACATCCTCCCATTTGGGACAATGACAAGTATTGGCATATACTTCACTACTGGGAACTATCTATAATAATAAAAGCATAATATGCTAATTAAAATGGATAATCTTCCCAATGAAGCCGAGGCTGCAAGGGAAACCTGGGTCCCGGGTGCCTACCAGAGGGAAGCCCAGGTCCTAGGTGCCGGAGGGAAGCTTGTGCCGGCAGCCATGAACAGGAAGGCCCACACTTGCATGAATTTTGTGCATTGGGCCTCTAGTTAAAAAATAATAGGCTCTTTGGACAAGCACAAAGCTTTGCGAAACATCAAGAGATCGGGCAGGGTTCAACAAGGTTTATCTCTTCACGAGGCCACAATTTCAAGTCTAGTGCATATTTTTAACATCTCCATTTGTAGTTTTACACACACACACACACATTTATTGATTGATTTCAGATAGAGGAAGGGAGAGAAAGAAATATCAATGATGAGAGAATCATTGATTGGCTGCCTTCTGCACACCCCACACTGGAGATCGAGCCCACACCCAGGATGTACCCCGACTGGGAATTGAACCATGATCTCCTGATTCATATGTTGACACTCAGTAACTGAGCCAACCAGCTGATTCTGTGTATATTTCAAGTGGCTTTCTTCAATCTTTGTTTCCTAATTTTACACTGTTATTTCATTGGGTATAGACATATAGCAAATATTTTCTTCTTCATTTTGGTTGAAATCTCCCCTTCCTTTCCCTCCACCCCCCCCCCCCCCCCAATAATTTATTTTTATAGGACTCATGAGATTTTCTTTCCTTATTAATTATTCTTAAATGAAAAGAGGGTTCTCCAGATTTGAGTTTCTATGTTGGAATGTAATTGTCACACCACCACCACCCCCACTACCACCACCTTGACAACTGCAAAGTTACATATGCAGCTCTTTCATAGACTTTCCAAGTTACAAAGCAAAATCATCTAGACATTAATGTCCTGAATCATCTAGACATTAATGTCCTGGCCAGGTTATCAGGAAATAATTATGCATCCAAATGGATATAGTATGAGAATAGCTAACTGGGAGGAAATTCTATGATATGATACATAGTCTTTAATAGCAAACAAATTGATAGGGATGGAATTTTATTCTGAAATAAAATTAGACTTTTGTGGAAATCTATGTATTTCTTACTGCACAGCATTACAGTTATGTCCCATCTGTGTTTCATTGGTCAAAATTTTGGGATCTACCAGATGAGTAGATCAATATTTATAATTTCCAAAGCTCTTCTGACTTTAGAACCCTTTGGATTTTTGCAAATACGTCAATAAAAAGATGAAGGAAGGTGAATAAAATATTGTTTCCATATTATTTTGTGATTTTGTATTTATGATCATGCTATTAAGCTATATAATTTTTGATTAACGATATTTTGGTAAGTCTACCTTTATAAAATAATTAGAGACCCATTGCAGGAAGATTCCTGCAAGAATAGGGTTTCCTATGGCCAGAGCTAAGCAGAGAAGGGAACTCTCCCATCTCTACTGCCCCACTTGCCTCTCTGCAGCATTGTTCCCTTTTGCAGAGCTTGGCTTCCTTCTATGCTGTCTTCAGTCTTTGCTCAGTGCCTGCATATGCAAATTAACTGCTGTCTTTGTTGGGTTAGTTTGCATACTTGCTCTGATTGGCTGATGGGCATAGCGGAGGGAAGGTCAATTTGCACGTTTCTCTTTTATTAGTGTATACCCGTATTTTCCGGTGTATAAGACGACTTTTGAAATGAAAAAAAGCCTGCTTAGATTGGCCAGAGTCAGAGAGGTGGTCTATTAAAAAAAGAACTGGTGTTACCTCGGAAGTGGGGGGTAGTCTTATACAGTGAATATAGGCCTAAACCTATGTTTTAACTGTAAAATTAGGGCGTCGTCTTATACACTCGGTCGTCTTATACGCCGGAAAATATGGTATATCTTATCTACAAGTATTAGGTTTGTTTATGTTTCTAGTGTTATATTAAAATCATAAAAATAATGAAATACATGTTCCCATATAATTGTTTTATGATTGTTTAAATATTTCTTCCTTGAATTTAGTCAGTTAAGCTTTTTGATCAGTAAATGAAACTTTTTTTCTTTGTAGTAAAATACTCAGCTGTATGGAATAGTGCATAAATCTTGGAAGACTACAATAAAGCGGCAATGTCTCGGGAACCCACCCCACCTCTCCCTGGAGATATGTCTACTGCTCCTATAGCAGAAAGTTGGTGTTATACACAGGTACATGTTGTAAAAAATGCTTCACTTTATGTTACTTACAAATTTTACAGTATTTTGAAACTGTTATGAAGTACTTTGGTATAGTTATTAGAAATGTTAAAAGACTGGATCATTTAGCATGTGACAGGATGTTTAACATGTTACAGTTAATTATGAAAGTGTTTTTTTTTTAACTCTCTTAGGTTAAAGTAGTAAAATTTTCCTACATGTGGACCATTAATAACTTCAGTTTTTGTCGAGAAGAAATGGGTGAAGTGTTAAAAAGTTCAACGTTCTCATCTAGCCCAAGTGACAAAATGAAATGGTAAGATTTTTGTTTGCTTAGAGTTTAGATATTATCATTGGCTACTTTATTGTTTTTTTGTTACTGTTCCTGAATAGATATTAGTCTGTTTTACCTTAGATTTCTAAGAATAGTATAGAGAATTATAAATAACTGGGGGGTATTGATGGGATATTATTATAACAAATGATTTCAGTATTGCCTCTCTTTTCTGAATGTTTCAAGTATTATATTCCTCCATGTAAGCCTGTTGTTTTATTTTAGGTGCCTGAGGGTAAATCCAAAAGGATTAGATGATGAAAGTAAAGACTACTTGTCCTTATATTTACTTTTAGTCAGCTGCCCAAAAAGTGAAGTTCGAGCAAAATTCAAATTTTCCCTTCTGAACGCTAAAAGGGAAGAAACAAAAGCAATGGGTAAGTGATTTGCAAACCGAACAAGACTCTATAACTACCTGCTGTGACTTCTGCATGTTTGCCTGCAAAACTTAGGATATTTTTTCCCAATGAGGTCTGCTTAACCTGAAACATTTAATTTGGCTATTAATTAATTTTAAATACCAGGGTAGAGCTGTAGTTTTTGTAGTAAGTTTTAGACTTCAGTAGACATGTAAAATTACTTAAAATAATGTTAAAAATTTAATTTTCTCATGTTCTAAAATGACATTCAATTGTCACTTGGAAACACAGTTGCTGGTTTCATGCCTGGCATATGTAATAGATGCTCAGGAAATATTTCTCTTCTCCCTTGCTATTTTTGTTAGATAAAATCTGAAGAATATTGGAAAGATTTTTAATGTCTTGCTATTTTGTCTTTAAAATTTTTTTTAAATAGTAACCAGAACATTGACTGAAAGGAAATCAGTTTTTCTTAGCCTTAAGACTTGTTCCCATATGTAACCTGCTAAAATCATGTACCTGGAGTTTCAAAAGAAGATGTATAATGTGCATAGTAGGACATGTCATAACTGCCACATTTTAAGTGTTTTCACAGAATCAAATTAACATCATGAAATAACCTCCTCTTAATACATACTATTTAATAATATATTTTATTGCCAAAGTAATATATTCACATGTATTCTCACATTATTTGGCATTTAAGACAGTGGGAGTGTCTTAGTCCAGGCTGTCATGACAAAATACAACAGACTGGATGGCTCATAAACAACAGAAATTTATTTCTCACTGATCTAGAGGCTGGGAGTCCAAAATCAGGGTGCCACCGTGGTCCAATTCGGATGAAGATCCTTTTTTGGGTTGTGGACTCCCCATGTTTTCACATGGTGCAAGCAGTTAGGGAGCTCTGTGAGGTCTTTTATTAGAGCAGCATTCTCATTCATGAGGACTCCACTCTCATGGACTTATGTAGTTCTAATCACTGATCTCTTAACTAGGACCATCACATTGGGAGGGATTGTTATAGGCACCTCTCACCAAGTCCAGAGAGGTGTCCTGGACAGCACCCTGAGTCAGTGGGAGAGGGCTGTTCCCAACTTCAATCCTTGTCTCATATAAATGAATTTATACGAGAGACCTTGACTGTATTGTGAAAAGCCTATTTATTAAAGCATGCCACCTTTATTAAGAAGCAAAGCAAGCAAACCTATATACATCTGGCTATGAAGCACCGATGGGCCCTCAGCTATTCTGAAGAGCAAGTTGGGAGGGGGTTCGAGGCTTTATATACCTTCTTGTCTGTAGGTTTCAAAATACCTTTGCTTAATATTTTGTTACAGGTTAATTCTCAAGGTCCTTTTTTTTACTTTATTGTGGTCTTCCTAGAAATCATGAGAAGCAACAGGCAACTTCGTCTTCCTAAGCCTTCAGACTGCTGGTTTCTCTACTTAGGGATTAAAACTGCCCTTTTCTCCTTTCTCGCCCCTCCGCCTCTCCCCTCCCTCCATCTGCATTCTCTCCTTAGGGAGGTATTTTTTTTTGTTTGTTTGTTTGTTTTTGTTTTTTTTTTTTAACTATTTGCTCTCCTGCCTTAGCTGGGGAAGATAATGGCTTGTTAGTTACAAGCTGGCTGCAAAATTGGCTTTGTTTTAACTTTTCTCTCTCGGTTTCCCTATTCTTCCAACCCTGGAATCCTGTAACAGTATGGTTTCATCATAAGAATTTTGATGGGATACACACATAACATAGTGTATTTTAATTATATTTACAACTGGTTCCACCTCCAATTAATTTTTTGTGTAACAGATAATGAATACTTAAGTGTAGAGGATCTTGTTTATTTCAGAGTATACAATTATTATATACTATTATGATAGGTATTTGAAACATTTACTTCAGACATTTATTAAATTATACTAAAAACCGTCTTTTAGACTATTATGAAAATTGTTTTTAGGGGATTATGTCTAAAGACCTGGGAATGATAAATGACATTATTTAGCTTTCCACCACTTAATTGGTGTCTTCTGGTTCAGTAAACTTAAGTCAGTGGGATGGATGTCCCAGGAAAGCTTAAGCTTAAAGGATTTCCTGATTACTTAGAGCATCTGCTTTTAAAGGGAGAAGAAGGAAATGAGTATTGTGTTTGTAATCAGGTCTGATGGTAGAGGATGAACAATATGCCCATGCCAATGTATTTGATCTTACTTTATTATTATAGGGCCTACATCTTTCTTATCCATAAGATTTGATCTGCATTTTCTTCTTCCTAGAGATTCAGGAATCTGAAAGTGAGCTCATTTGATGGCCAAAATTTGAGTAGTGCTGAGGAATGATTTGGCTCTACCTGATATAACTCTGATGACACATTTTATTTATGAAAACAAATATCTGTACTTCTTACTATTTTTTTCATATTTACTTAACGTGTTATCATTTACAAAAATGTCTCTTGGATACTTGTTTTATTTAAACTTCTATTCTGTTTCCTACCAGAAAGCCAAAGAGCATATCGATTTGTACAAGGAAAGGACTGGGGTTTTAAAAAATTCATTCGAAGGGATTTTTTGCTTGATGAAGCTAATGGTCTTTTACCAGATGACAAGCTTACATTATTTTGTGAGGTGGGTACATTTTTTTATTTCAAGGAACTTTTTGGTTATATTTAGCAATGAAGCAAAATTTTAAACCACAATATTGGGTATATTATAAAAAATAATAACTGGGATAATTGATAAGGTTTCATTTGAAAATATTTTACCAGGAAAAGCTGACTAGATTGTCTTAGAAATCAGTATAGTAGCCCACTATGAAAAAATTTGGTCATATCTCTTCTTGTAAGTTATATATGCAGTTATACTAATGCATCCTAAACATTTCTTATAGGAAGACTATGGGTGTGTATATCTTTACTTGAAAAATGTAAATACCTTCATCACTATGAATAATTCTGACGTAGATGCTGAATATTTTTTGCCATATTCAGATTGGACATATTAAACATTAAAACATTAGTAATTTATCAGTTTGAAACCATACTTGAACAGTGAACTGCTTGAAAAAAGATTGGGAAGCTTGTTATTCATTCAAGTAGTGCAGTTCATTTAATAAAATAATGTTTTTATCAATAGCTTCTCAAATTTTTAAATGTGCCCATGTCTGCATGTTATCATTATTTAGTTTTATATATACAAATGGTTGAGATTTGGAGTGAATTCTAGAATTATATTATGTTACCTGTAGAGTTTATAAAGAATATGCATTGATTACATAATTTTATTGAAAAATTTTAAAGTAGTTGATAAATTTTCAAAGAAGTGCCAGTTAATAGGTTATAATCAAGTAAACTCAGTATTAAATATATTTCAGTAGGTTATTGTAGGCAGATGAGTGTTTTGGAAACTTAGTAACTTCCTTAACTATTACAAAGTTAGCTTGAATTTCTTCATAGAAAATGTGTAAAATTTCTTGGCAAGATTGCAAACTAATTGCATGCCATTATGCTGTTAGAAGAATAATTAAAACATGGCCCCAGAGATGATATAGTGCAAATATGGTACATCTTATTTTCACTTAGACAAGTTAAGTGAACTGTGTGATGAGTTATTATGAATACAATTATTTGCTTGATAAAGTACATACCACAAATGTCTTGAGCAGAAATGATTATTAAATAACTTTAAAAAATAACTAAATAGTTATTATCAATAGAGATTCTAAGAAAAATTTTAAATGTCATATTATTTTAAAATTGTAGCATCCTTAATATAAAATTTGTAAGTATCTTAGTAGTTATCTTGAATTTTAGCATATTAATTTTTTAAAAATCTTATAATCTTAGAGTTTAAAAATCCTTAAAAGCTATGTAATCCAGTTAAAAACGACTGTAGCTAAAAGTCTTTTTGTAAAGACTTTTACCGTTAACTTTTAATGTTAACTTTTTAAGGTAATATTTTTTTTTAGAATTGAAATATTATTTACAGTATTGTTCTTAAGCGTGTTTTATTGGAACCTAGACAATGAAGAAATTCAGAATAAAGGCTGAAATTAAAAATATACTTTTTTTGAGGTATATTTTTTATTTGCTAGATTGTGCACCCTAGTGACCTTAAAATAGAACCCACTACAACACACATTATGCATACTAGTGACCTTAAAATAGAACCCACAGTGATAGACATTTTAAGTTGGCAGATTCCAGTTTGGATACTGTAATTAAGTATGCTTTTGTCAATGTAAACATTTATACCCCCCCATATTAGGCATAGGAAGGCAAAAAGTACTTTGAACAAACATTCCTCATGCCCTCCACCATTTCTTTACACCTCTCATTGATGCCCTTCCTTCTACAGCATCTCCAGCACTGCTTGCAGAAGAGGAGGAAGCATTGCACTGCCCTACGTAAAGAACTGCCTCCTCCCCCTCCCCTGCAAGTGGTGCTGTAGACAGGTAAGGCAGTTTGGTGCTACTTTTTTTGTGCAAGACATAAATTAATCTTGCAAGTTCCATACTGTAAATCAAGTAGCCAGGGGTAGAAATTCGTAGCTGTGTAACAGCTCTGTGCCTTCTCTCCCAAAGTGATACAAAGGGCAGGAATTGAGGAACAAGTAGGGGAAAAAAAGGAAATGTAAAATATTGTTTAGGTTAATTTTTTTAAATCCAAAAGATTTTAAATAAATTTATAGTCTACAGACCCATGCCATTCTATGATACATATTCGGCGGTGAGGTTGAGCTATAGATAGATGATTGATTGATAGGTAGGTAGGTAGATAGATAGATAGATAGATATAGATATAGAGATGCACACATAAATATTTTTCTGTTGCCAAGATATTCTTTCAGTTTTGAAAAACTTTTAATGTTGGCTTTTATTCTCTAAAAAGCTCTTTCATACCAAAATGAAAAGCTGTGCCAGTTAATAGGTTATAATCAAGTAAACTCAGTATTAAATATATTTCAGTAGGTTATTGTAGGCAGATGAGTGTTTTGGAAACTTAGGAACTTCCTTAACTATCACCCAGATTTTAAATAAAGGATACCACCTATTTAGGAAAATCAAAAAATCTAAGACCCACTATTCTATAAGATGTTGTGAAATCGCATTGTTAAAACTTTCTTACTTTGGAACCAGTGTGAGGGATGGTTAGGTAGCTAACTCGAGCAGCAAAACTTGTAGTCCTATACACCTTTGTAAATTGCTAGCTCTCAGAATTAATTTAGAGAATTGAGATTTTTTTTTTTTTTTTTAAATTGGGACCAGCCGTCACCTAATTCCACACTGAGGAAACCCAGATTTTCATAGTACTTGTAGTTGAGAAGAGCCTACACATGTTTCTTTTTAGTCTGAATAGTAGTTTCAGAGTTGAGCCAAAAGCAAATTTGGAAAAGAACTGTCAAATGAGTTTGAGATTTTGCTTTGCAACAGTAGTAGTCAATTTTGAGTACTGTGCATTTGCCCTTTGATTTTGAAAGAACAATAATTTAACCTCAGGAAAGAATCTCAGCCTTTTTTCTGAATTTTTTACTCTAGGTTCCATTCAGTGAGAATGTTTTATTACCCCTATTTGAATATGTACCAAAGATAAACTAAAATTTTAACCAACTTCTTAATATAGGAATCAAGAAAATAATTATCAAAATGTAACGCATATCATTTTTTAATTAGATTATTAACTTCTGTTCCATAAATAGTCCTTTGAATACCTTTTGAAGAATGGAATGTTTTAATTAAAATATGTGGTTGCTATGACAATAGATGTGTATGTCAATAATAAAAATTCTTTTGAATTATAATTACATATACAAAATACAAATGTAACATTACGTTCTAGCCTGATAATAATGGCTTTATTTTTTGATGCTTTTATTTCTTCTGTTACCAGATTTTTGCCAGATTTTTACATTAAATGTGCTGTTTTGAGTTAGGATAATAGACAATGTATAGAATCTAAGGAATCCATTCCTAAATTAAATATCATTACATTTTTATAACTCCTCTGCATACTTTATGCAAGTAATTGAACTGATGGAGTTCCTGCTGTCTATTATAGTAGAAATCTCAAAGAAATACTTTTTATGAACAAAGAAGTACTGTGATAGAAAACTGATCCCCGGCCGAAACCGGTTAGGCTCAGTGATAGAGCGTCGGTCTGCGGACTGAAAGGTCCCAGGTTTGATTCATGGTCAAGGGCATGTACATTATTTTTGGGCACATCCCCGGTAGGGGGTGTGCAAGAGGCAGCTGGTCGATGTTTCTCTCTCATCGACGTTTCTAGCTCTCTATACCTCTCTCTTCCTCTCTGTAAAAAATCAATAAAATATATTAAAAAAAAAAATGATCCCTAACTAAATCCTGAGTATTAAAACCAACATATTTGGTTTATGTATCATTAAATTATAACAGTGTAACAGGGCAATCAAGTAAAGATTGATGATGCTTTTGTCTATTTTGTAGTTAATAGAATTTTAGAAACTATTTGGATAATTAAAAACTTGATAGACTGGGAAAATTTCTATATACAAAATATTTTGGCACTTGTATTTAGGAAAGCATCTCACAAGAGTGTTGTGACAAATCCTTTCTGAATCATAATTGCACTAAAGTAGTACTACTAATTTTAAAAAAGTATATCTAAAGAAATATTGTGCAGTACAAAGAGTGCTGTAAAAATGGAATCTGGGAATATAGGTCTACTCTCCCTCTGATACTGAGTAGCATTGTGATTTAGGACACTTTGGTTACCTTCTCTTGCTCTCACTTTGAAAGCTTATACCAAATAAGGTGATTGATTAGATGTTTTCTATGACACATGATTCCAAAAGGTTAATTATACAAGTTGGAAAGAAAAAATGATTAATTAAAAATACCTCAATAAAAATTTTCTTTGTAAGTGCCCATTCATATGAGTGAGATACATCTTTATACATCTAGATGAAAGAGAACTTTTTTTTAAAAATATATTTTATTGATTTTTCACAGAGAGGAAGGGAGAGAGATAGAGAGCCAGAAACATCGATGAGAGAGAAACATCGACCAGCTGCCCCTTGCACACCCCCTACTGGGGATATGCCCACAACCCAGGTACATGCCTTTGACCAGAATCGAACCTGGGACCTTTCAGTCCACGGACCAACGCTCTACCACTGAGCCAAACCAGTTTCGGCGAATGAGAACTTCTGAGATTTAATATTCTCCAGATATTTTATACTGGATTATTATTAAACTTTGTATTAGCATGTTAGTAGTTTGTTCCAATTTACCTGTTTGTAATTTACATTTTCTACATAGTTTACTGTATTTATATGTGTCCTTATTTATACCTATTCTTATTTAATAAAAGCCACTTGAAATGTTTTCAAATGAACATACGTATCTATTGCTACATAAAAAACAACTCTGTCTGGTTGTTCAGTGGTTAGAGTGTTGGCCCATAGACAGAAGGGTCATAGGTTCAATTTCCGGTCAAGAGTACATACCTCAGTTGCAGGATCCCAGCCCTAGTAGGGGCATGTGGGGGAGGCAGCCAATCAGTGTGTCTCTCTTACATTGATGTTTTTCTCTCTCTCTCTCTCTGTCTTCCCTCCCTTTCATCTCTCTTTCTAGAAATCAATGGAAAAAATATCCTTGAGAGAGGATTAAAAAAAAAAAAGAAATGACCACAAAACTTAAAAGTTTAAAAACAATGGCTAATATAGCACTTTAAAAAAAAATGATTTATTTACTCTAAAACATATTCGTGTTGAGGTAGTATTTTCTTCAATTTATTAAATGTAATTTGAAATTTCTTATAGTAGAATTCTTTTAAAGTGATGTATAAGACTTAATAGTGTTTTAAGATTATATTCAGTAGCTGAAACCGGTTTGGCTCAATGGATAGAGCATTGGCCTGCGGACTGAAAGGTCCCGGGTTTGATTCCGGTCAAGGGCACATCCCCCGTAGGGGGCGTGCAAGAGGCAGCTGATCGATGACTCATTGATGTTTCTAACTCTTTACTCTCTCTCTCCCTTCCTCTCTGTAAAAAATAAAATATATTTAAAAAAAAAGATTATATTCAGTAGACAGTGGTCATCTTCATTGAGAAATAACTTAATCCATATTTTATATTTGAGTTTGTATAAAAGCAATATTGAAATTATATCAGTTTTTATTGATTAATTAGGTAAATGGTCTGAAAATCAAACTAAATCATACTTGTATTCTTAATGTTGATTTTTTTAAAAAATAAAAGATCCCATGAACTTTTAATAACTATAGTTGCTTTTGTGAGAATTCTTATACTTTAAAATTTAAATCAATTTAACTATATATTTAAATCAGTTTTACCAGGGTTGAAACATATTTTAAGGAATAGCATTTAAAATACTTCCCAAATTGTATATCCTAGACTGTAGCTTTATAACCTTTAAACTGTATCCTTAAATTCAATTATCAGGTATTAGTATCTTTAGCAGGAATGCATTTACTTGTTCAAATAATTTTAATGATAAGAAATTTAAGTATAGTCTTAGTAATTAATTATTGATATTAAATTGTAAAAGTGTTTTTCTTACTGTCCCTTTTTTATTAGGTGAGTGTGGTCCAAGATTCAGTAAATATATCAGGGCATACTAATACAAATACTTTGAAGGTTCCTGAATGTCGACTAGCAGAAGATTTAGGTAATCTCTGGGAAAACACAAGATTTACAGATTGCAGTTTTTTTGTGAGAGGACACGAATTTAGAGCTCATAAATCTGTACTTGCAGGTACTTTCTACTTTTGGGTAATATAGTACATTTCTGTTATAAATGTATGCATTAAATAATGATGCTTAATCTTGTTACAGCTCGATCCCCAGTTTTTAATGCAATGTTTGAACATGAAATGGAAGAAAGCAAAAAGGTAACCATAGTTTAAGGGTTAACAATAAATTGGTGCAAAAGTACAATAGTGGACTGTACAGTGTATGTTCTCAGTTGTTATGCTATGATTTTAGAAAAAAATAGATGGAAAAAACGGGTTCTCTAACAGAACAGTCAGTGTAACCTAAAGTGGATGAATATTTTAAATAATAGCTATTTGGGTGTGTCCATTTGGTAAAAAAGTAAGTAGATAGTTCTTATACAAAAGGGTCGTTATCAAATGACTGTTCTTGGCATAGCTGTTTGGGAGTTCTCTGGTTAAGAAGTCTATTTCTTGCCCAGCCGGTGTGAGTCAGTGATTGAGCATCAGCCCATGAACCAAGTGATTCCTGGTTTCATTCCTGGTCAGGGCACAGGCCTAGGTTGTGGGCTATACCCCCAGTAGGGGGTGGGCAGGAGGCAGCCAATCAACACCTCTCTCTCTCGTTAATGTTTCTATTTGTCTCCCTCTCTCTCTAAAAATCAATAAAAATATATATATTTTAAAAAAGTATATTTCTCCTTTCTAGATTTTATAAGTTGATTTTGGAATTTGTTTTCTAGAACAAAAACAATGCCTACATTTTAGCCACTTTTATAAGTTACTTTTTGTTAGATTTAATAAAAAATGGCATAAATTACATTATTACAAATTAGCTGTACTCAAAATAATACCTATTTGGTTTTCCCAGGTGTTTCTCTGTCACCTGTCTTTCTTGAAATGCCAGATTAAAGATCAGAGGTTGATTGTATGCTGGTTGCATTACATGTGAATGATCCTTAGTGCTCTAATTGGACTTACATGGGCTCAGCTTTATTCTTTCTGTAGAACTAGGGGCTGCAACAAAATAGCTGCTTTCTTTCCTTTGATTGTTGGTCTGGGCTGGTACTATGATCAACTTTCTGATCACTTCCAAGCAAGCTACATCAATGATGTGTCAAGTGCTATTGTTAGCAAAGGTTCAGAAAAGTTTGCTATTGTTTACTGTTTGATATTTAGCTTGATTAATCCCAGGAGAGAAACCAAATTTACAAAGATATAGGAATAAAAAAAGAACTAGTCCTCTTTGGACTTGAGCATGTGTTAAGCAAAGAGGTGAGGTGCCAGAAGATAATAGTACATGCCATTTTGCAAAAGGGAGAATTCTGAGGTGTAATGGATGCTCTGAAATTATCTCATACTAGAGGCCCATTGCTTCCAACACCCGTCCTCCAGTCCAGGGACCCAGGCTTTCGCTCCAGCCAGAGTCTGCCTTCTTCATCTTTGCTGCAGACTCAGGCTGGTTCATCTTCACCGCTTCCCTGCACACTCCAGCCGAAGTCTGCCATCTTCGTCTTCACTGCAGAGTCTGCAGTCTTGTCTTCAATGCAGCACTATGCTCCTATAGATCCGTTAGCCGCTCCTGCCCTCCCTCTCACCTGGCCACTCCGCACCTGGAGCAGCTAGGCAGCCACCATCTTTGGCTTTCTAATTTGATACTCACTCTGATTGGCTGTGGGTGTAGCAGAGGTACGGTCAATTTACATATTTGTGTATTACTAGGCAAGATACCTGGTCATTCTTTTGCTTAAAGGTAGTTAGTTACAGGTTCTTAGGCTTTGTATTACAACTTAGGAATTCTGCAAAGAAAAACTTAATAGACATCTTTCTCTAAGAGAGAGGTCAGAAACTGCATGCTGATGTATTTTGTTTGGCCTATAGACTTTTGTTTTACTCTTTTAAATTAAGAAATTGGATTTATATTTCTACATGGTAGTCTTTGGTGCATATACTTTCCTCTTAGATTGGTGTTTCACTTTGCCTACATACCTTACTGAAGATAAATTTTAAAATAATCTATATTTGAGTTGTACAGATTTGGGGCTTTTAAATTACTGTCAGATTTTCTGCTTGGTTTGTATGCGTGTCTGTGTTCTTTAAGTATAACTCTTTTGTGTTGTTTTCAATATCAGAATCGAGTGGAAATAAACGATGTAGACCCCGAGGTTTTTAAAGAAATGATGAGATTCATTTACACAGGGAAAGCACCAAACCTTGACAAAATGGCTGACAACTTGTTGGCAGCTGCAGACAAAGTAAGTAATTAGGTCTTAAAGAGCTGAAAAATGTCCTCAAGCTTCTGATATATCTAGACACTGTCATCAAATGAAAACCCCAAATAATTTGAAATACTGGATCAATTTAAAATATTTGTTAGGTGGCTCTTGAGAGTATTAAAAATAGCATACAATGGGATAAATAGGGAAGTGAAAATTTTTTTAATTAATAAGACAAAAATATCTTTATATGGAAGAAAGTAAATTTTTTATGGGAGTATAAATTATAAACTCAATAGTTTTAGTGTATCTTTACTATTTTATAAGAACACACACAATATCATATATAATTAAAAAACTTTTATATTGACTAATTCAGTTCTCTGTGTTTATAGATTGATTTTTTAATGTAATAGTGTAATAAGAGAAAATAATGATAATTTTATGCTCTTTTATGATGGTGATTTTTTTTTTTTTTAATGTAGGGAAACAGTGCAGAAATGACAAATAATTTAAAGCCAGTAGTTTTCAATCCTGAGAACACATTGGGAGCTTTCTCCAAAAGTATTTTCATGTGACTTTCATCCATGTATATGCATATGTGAGTGTGTGTGAGTGTGTGTGTGTGTGTGTGTGTGTGTGTGTGTATGTGTGTGAATGTAAAGTGTTACTGTACCTGTTTTGTGAAATGTTAACATTGAGGGGAACTGAGTCACATGTATAAAGAATCTATTATGTTGCACAACTGAATATGAATCTATAACTCTCAATAAAAATTTAAATTAAAAATGCTATTTACATTAGCATCAACTATATTAAATACATAGGCATAAATAAATACATAGACAAAAACTGTTCAAGATATGTATACAGAAAATTACAATTAATTTCTAAGTGAAATGCAGTCAGGCCAAAATAATTGGAGAGATAAATCTTGTTTATGGACTGGAAGTTTGAATATTATTAAAATTTTTGCACCGGCCTCGCTTGCACCCGCAGTAGGCGTTGGTGCTGCCACTTGCACCCTCCACTGGTGCTAGAGCTGCTGCTTGCACCTGCTAACTGGCGCCTGGAACCAGGCCTAATCAGTGGGTGCAAGTACCATGTTTCCCCAAAAATAAGACATCCTCTGAAAATAAGACCTAGCATATGGAAAAATAAGACATCCCCTGAAAATAAGACCTAGCGCATCTTTGGGAGCAAAAATTAATATAAGACACTGTCTTATTTTCAGGGAAACAGGGTAGCAGGTGCAGGCCCCAATCACCCCTCAGGGCTTCTCCATCTCCTCCTGCTCCTGAGGGGCGATCAGGGCGAGCAGCCACCTCTTGCACCCACTGCTGGTGCCAGCCCTACTAGCACCCACAGCCAGCACCAGTCACTCCACGCCATTAGTGAGTGCGAGCGAGGCTGGTGCCATCAGTACATGGGAGCGGTGGCAGTGGGAGCAGGTTGCCAGCAGACAGGGGACTGGGGGCCATGGCAGGAGGGGCCGGACAGGGGCAAGGAGGATGCAGTGAGACCCATCCTTGTGCCCACTGCAGCCTCTCAGCCCTTAGTTCCTTTCAAGGTGCATGAATTTGTGCACTGGGCCCCTAGCACTACATAAAATTAAAAATTTGATAATTGGACTTCAATACAATTTAAAACTTCTTTCTGCAAAAGTCACGGGAAAGCAAAAAGACTAGTAAAATATTGAGAGAAAATATTTGGACAGTATATATTTGATGAATGACTTTTATTCAGAAGATATCTGATAAAGGACTTTATTTCAGATTATATATAGAACTCAAAACTCAATTAAACAAACAAAAAAAATCAATGTTATTTCTAAAAATAGAAAATATTTGAACAGCCTTTTTCCAAAATAATATCAATCAATGTCAGAAGATGCTCAACATCATTTGCCATTAGAGAAATGTAAATTGAAATTATCACACGATTCTTTTACACACATATCATAATAACTAGAAATTACACAGACCAAAGCTGTAGAAGAATTAGGACTGTCAAACACTGCTGATGGGAATATAAAGTGGTACAACCATTTTGAAAGACTGGCTGTTCCTTAAAACATTTTACACTTGCCATATGACTCAATGAACCCACTTTCAGGTTTTTATCCAAGAGAAAAGAAAGCATATGCCCATATAATGACATATATGAAGGTTTATAGAAGCTTTCTTTGAAATAGCTAAAAACTGGAAACACCAAATGTTCATTAACAGCTGAATGGATAAACAAATTGTGGTATGTTTATATACAATGGAATATTACTCAGCGGTAAAAAGCATTAACCTTTTGATAAACACAGGCAACAATACACATGAATCTCAAAGTAATTAAACTTTGTGGACGAAATTTTAGCAGTAGAAAGCATATGAGGTGTTGGCTTGGGATGGGGTGAAAGAGAAGGATTACAAAGGTATAGGAGGAAACTTGGGATGATTAATATGTTCACTATCTTGATTTAATGGTGATTACATGTCTATAAACTTATCAGAGTATAAACTTCAATAAGTATGGTTTACTCTATGTTAGTCTTCAATAAAGCTACTAAAGATGTTATAACATATACACTAAAGATTTTTAGTGGTTATGAATATGATTTCTTTAGCTTTGTAATTCTTTAAGATTGGATTGTGACACATGCAGTGAGTGTACTGGTTGATACACTCATGTTCATTATAATAGAGAACTACTCATTAGAAGTTTTGAGTAATAAGGTGAATGTGATTTTTAAGAATAAAACCGTATTTTTAAAATATATAATATTTTACACTTATAAAAATTGAAATTTCCTAAAGAAATTGTTCTTTCTCTTGAATATATTCATTAATATTTTCTTCATATTAGGTTAAAAATAATTTAAAGACTTTTAAAATACCCTTAGTTCAAAGTATAATGTGCTTTATTTCCTACGTCCAACTATCATGTATTTAAAACTTGTTATTTTCAATAAATGTTTAATGGTTATGTTTTCCTTTTGAATAGTATGCACTGGAACGGCTGAAGGTCCTGTGTGAAGAAGCTTTGTGTAGTAACCTCTCAGTGGAAAATGTTGCTGATACCCTTGTCCTTGCAGATTTGCACAGTGCAGAACAGTTGAAAGCACAAGCCATAGACTTTATTAATAGGTAAGCTATGCTTGTATTTCAGCGGCATGACACCTTCAACATTTTTCACTGGACTTTTTTAAGTGTGTTTAAATCTTCAATGCAGGTGCAGTGTACTTCGACAGCTTGGGTGTAAAGATGGGAAAAACTGGAACAACAAGTAAGATGACATGTTTTTGACTTAAAGTTGATCTGCCTACATAGAATTAAGTGTTTGCATAAGCCTTTTGTTCATCTACAATAAGTACGAATTCAGATATTAGTTATATGGAGTAAACTGCTGGTTATTTAAAAAAAAAAAAATTCCACTAACTTAGTGGATTCTTGAAGCTATGCCCCCTTGAAGATCAGCTGCTAATGTGAACTGAGATGATGGTGGAAGCATTAGCTGACTGGAAATGACAGAGGGAGAATTTGGGGTTAGGGGAGATATGTTGAATTCTTCTTATCTAACAATGCTGAATTTTTAGAACTTGAAACACATCCAAGTGAAGAGAACAAGTGATTGGGAATGAGAACAAGTGATTGGGAACCTTGTAGGAGACTTGGGATTTAGCAAATCAGTAGTTGTCACTATTGAATATAATAGTTAAAATTGCAATGAATGGATAAGGTAGGATGAATAATGAATATTAAAAGAGTAGAGGGCAAAAGTTGCAACTCTAGAAAAAAAAACCTGAGTATAAGCCAGGGAAAAGAGCTCTTGAAAGAGCCACTTCAGAAATGGTAACAGTGGGAAAAACTATGGGGACAGGTGACACATGCTTTAGGATAATCGAATTTCCAGGAAATTCTAATAGTTTCAATTGTTACAGGAATACTACTGAGGTATTTTGTGAATGAGATTTTAATGAATTCAAGTGGTTTAAATACATACAGAGACAGTGTTAAAATCTATAAATTTAAAAAATCGACAATACAGCAATGCATTTTGAAAAGTATTCTTTAACAAATATCTCTTAATTTTATTTTTCAGCCAAGCAACGGACATAATGGAAACATCAGGGTGGAAGTCCATGATTCAGTCTCACCCTCATTTAGTAGCAGAAGCCTTCCGAGCACTAGCATCTGCACAGTGTCCACAGTTTGGCATTCCACGCAAACGGCTAAAACAGTCCTGAAATCTTCCATGAATTGTAGAAAAATGGAATTGACTTTTATTCCTCCAGGTCCAGAAGAATTCTAATAGACAAACCATAAGCAAGAGTTGTTTCTGTTGTCTTGTCCACAGAACAGAAGCTGAAAAAGCGTATGGCTTGCATTTCAGGTGGATAATTTATGGTTTATTCTTCAGCTTTAAATTAGACTGACTATACTCTAACTCACTTCAAGGCCTTAAATTATCTCCAGTGACTTCTCTTGTTCATATGATACTTTAATTTTTTTATTGTGCCTTGTCATTTTGACCAAGGCTATGCAGGATTGCACTAGCTCCATAATGCAGTAATATTGACAACTGAAGATATTAAGTTTCAAAAGGATCTTCCATTAGCTTCAGAAAAGCAAAATTAATTTTCTAGGGTTTGTGCTATGCTATCTCAAAGTTTAAGACTAGTTTCTTAAAAGCACTTGTATTGGAGATAACTGTTAATGTCTCCAGCCTGAGTTCTATAAATACAGGAGAACCTGCTTACCTTCAAGGTAAGTTATGGCAATACACTGCTTCAGTTCTAATTTATTTTCATTTCAGGGGCAATTATGCAATGAGTTGGCCCAGGTTTTTAGTAGAATTTGTGATGTTTATATGTTAACTGTCTAGAAAACTAAGAAGCATAACAAACCTTTGCTTGTGTTTCTTTGTGGGTTTATCCAAGTTTACAATTATTGAGAACTGATTGAAGATAAGATTTCAATAAGAAGAAAGCATGTTTTGTGCTGAATTAACTTTTTTTTTAATTTATAGTGGCCTACATTTATATGAAGAATTCTGTACATGTTAAAAGTAAGGATGACCAAATGTAAATTCAATGAGTGGGCCAATTAAGAGAGAGATATATGCACTTTTAATGTGTAACTTTTGTATGCTGAATGGTACATATATTTTTTTGCTTTTGAGGGAATTAATAAGGTATAGTTAATTGTGTCTTAACTTTTGAAATAATTTTTTAAGACAGATGGAGGTAACTGGCTGTTTGTGATATAATAGATAAAGATATCCTTCATTATAGTTAAATTGGTTTCCATTTCAATTAAATTCACATCATTAAATTCACTCTTTTTTTTTTATCACACATTGGAGAAGGCATCTGAACAGTACGTGAATCCTGGACAGTCTACTCTCCTAAAATCAACAAACAGATACTATTTGCAGACTAAAGGAGAGAACCTTCAGAAACTTGTCAGGGCACATTCTGAACCTTCCACATCCCCTTAGTTTTTTCCTTTCTGTTTCAGTTACTGTATTAACATTGTGGTGGATGATACTGAAATTATACATAATGTGAACAGGATAAACTATTTATAAACTGCTTTTCATGGGCCAGTTCTTTATTATAAATGAATTTCAGCTTTAAACACATACACATGCTCAGTGTTGGATAGCTCTGTTCACAGTGGAGGTTTGTTCCACATCTGGTCTCCTGAACTAGGGCAGCGTGCTTCTTAGGCAAGATTGATGTTGGACCACAAGGGGAAAAGTGTGTCACTGGAAAAAAATGCACATACCTATATATTTGCATACATAACTATTCTCCAGATTAAAATTTGTATAATTTGTTTATTTAGTTTTTTAATGTAGTACAAAAGGAAAATAATTAATCCTGAAGTCTTAAAAGTTTTTTGTTTTTTTGTTATTTCTTTGTTAGATTCTCACTGAGCAATTCTAATATATCAAGAGTGATTCATATTTACATTGAACAACACTTTCAAATACACATTTGTTGTCCATAACTAACGAGTTTGAAAGATCTTATTTCTTCAGATATCATTTTGCTCTTTGTAATTTCATTGAGTCTTTGTTATGTTAACTTAAGTTTTAAATTGGAAGAATACCTTGGGATAGAGGAAAGATTCTTACATATTCATCAGTGCTATAGTAAGCAGAAATTCACTTTCTTAATTTCGCCATAAGATTGAATTCATTAAATTTGCAATGTACAATTTAAAAAAATACATGCCCACATACATATATACTAAGATTTTAATTTATATTTTGCCTGGGTCTTATAAGAAAACAAAAACTCCTTCCTTGGGCTATAGAATTCTGTTGTCATTAAAAAAATAAAAAAATAAAAAAAGCTGGTATACCCATGTATATCAAATGCACAAAGGCACATTGTGAATTAATTCACTGCTTGAATCTACATTTCTAACTATAGTGACTTCACTAATACCATGTAATGAACATTTCAGATTTCCCTCACTTGTTTTCATGTTTATTGAAAAATCTTAAGGTTTTTATTATAAGTATTATTTTAGTTAGGTAGTACATTTTGTACCAAAAACGTCAAACACTGTGCTGTAAGAAGATCCATGTTTGTAGAAATGTCCACTTTTCAGATAATATAATGCCTACCTTTATACTAACAGAACCATATAGTAGCTGATTTATTTTTTTTATTTATTATGTATATTTTTGGTATTGTGTGGGTTCTTGAGGCTGTGATAGAAAACTGTTAATGTATTCTGAAATAAGTGCTCTAATAGCCTTTTTTTGTTATTAAAATTGTTTTCAGTAGGCATTGATTCTGTCCAGAGCAGTCTTGCTTTTTGATTATCAGCCTGCTCCTGTTTCTCTTTTGTCATCCAAACAGAACTTGTTTTAAAAAGTAGTGATTGGTTTTAAACATTACATAAATACAAAAGTAAACATTGGAAAACTGTTCTTTAGCTTCAGATAGGGAAACACTATATTTGTGCCTTTTTTGTTTTGAATTTTAATGTGTATTGGTATTTAGAGCACAAATATGAAGGTGCCATAATATTATGGCTGCCATTGTTACCTCCTTGAATATTCGTGTGTCGTTGTCTTAAAATAGTAATTGGAGAACCTTGCATGTATTATGTGGTTATTTAGGCATCTGTGTGCACGCTTGCGTGCATGTGTGTGTGTGAGTGTACATGTACTTGTTTTCACTTGGACTTGTGTGTGATATATTCAAAAGAGTGAATTTTTAAAAATAGGACTCAAGTTAAACATTGAAAGTTCAAGCTAGTTGAAATATATCATTTAAAAGTGCTTTACTTGGGACAGTTGATCGATAGTCTCTCAAAAGTGTGACTAATTTATTGCATGACAAACAGTGCCTTTTTAGGATATCATTAATTCTAAAATTAAGTTTAAAATATTAATGATCTCTTAAAATGTCATGAACATTATTGGCTTTTAAAAAACTATACCTAAGTTAGAGCTTAAATTGACAAAAGTATAATTACTAATTTACTTACCCATTTAAGTTTTGTGCATAAATTTTAAAACCTAAGCAGAATTCTTTGTAAAATTGTGAATCATAGATGCTACCCAATGTTACTAAAAATATAACCCTGGGCACTTCAGTAAGTTGTTTTGTTATATTCACAAGCTTTTTTCATAGCCAAGTATACTTCAAGTATTGAATTATTCCAAGTTGGACTTCCATGCTCTTTGTTGAATAAAATAAAAATATTCAATATATTCTTGCAAAATAAGGTGGGCGGGTGGGTTTTAGTGTTTTCAGATTATATAGACAGCACTTTCACACACAGGAGTATTTTGCAAACCTCTTTTATACAGATTATGAGCTCTACTTTATTTAAGTGTTCATGGAATGATGAAAATTTTAGGTCCATTTGAATAAATACAGAGTGCCTACCATATGCAAGACTTCCTTTTCACTAGGAATTAAATCATCACACCATGTTTTCTGCTTGCAGTATGTGGACTTAATGTTTGAAAAGGAATTCTTATATTTAAATTTTTTCTGTTAGAGTTTATCATTGAAAACTGTAACCCAGATAATTGTGCATTCAGGTTTTTAGAATGAAGATAAAACTTAAGTGAGTCCCACTTTTGAAGATAAAATTCTGCTAAAGTTATTTAAAATTTAGTTCTGGGGGAAATTGATATTCAAGTTTCAAATGTATAAAGACTTATATCGAACTTTTCAGCCTCATTTTTAATCAGCTCATGTTGATGAGATACATACTTTTGGTATCTTGTTGCTGAAAATATTTTGGCATTTCAGCACTTTGCGTTAAAATAAAGTTGTTACTACTTATTCAGAATTAATTGGTCTATTTTGTGTTTATTTGAAAATATAAACTTATATTTTATCATGAAAACCATTGTTTCTTGTATTTTGTCTCTTGTTTTTGGTTTTGTTTATTATAATTGGGTGGATAAATCTAGACCTGTAACTACATCTGGACAGTATAGCTTTTCTTAGCCAGAGATAAAAGAAAGGACTCTGAAACGGCACATTATCAATGTCATTCCTTAGTTATGATGAGAATAGAGAATTTGGCTCAGATCTTATATGTAAACAAATGTGTATATATTTGTTTCTCAGATCTTAAAAAAACTCATGAGGCAAACACTGATATTTCAAATGTATTTCTTCTAAAAAAATAAAATTTTACCTGGGAATACTCATACTCTGGAATGCTAGCCCAAGCTTTGTCCTGGTGGAGTTTACAAATTCAAATGTTAACACAGGGATCTGATAGAATGAAAGTTGCAGACCAGATATATGTGATGAACTGGGGAAATGACAGTCAGTGTAGTGGTGGGCCTGGTCTAGTCATGCCGGCTCAGTAGTATAACAGCAAATAAGAGGATCATAATTTTCTGGCCCAACTTAATGGCACTGTCTGCACCCTAAACTCCTACCTATCTCAACCAAAACAAACAATTCTAATAAAAGAGTAACATGCAAATTGACGGTCACTACACAGATGGCTGTCACTAGGTGTTCGCGGGGGGGGGGGGGGGGGGGGATTGTTGGAAGGGGGCAAGCCTGCAGGGGAGGGCAGTTAGGTGGTTAGGGGGTGACCAGGTTGACATAGGAGGGAAGTTGGGGGTGACTGGGCCTGCAAGGAAGGGCAGATTGGGGGGGGGGGGGGGAACCCCAGCCTGCAGGGGAGAGCAGTTGGGGGGTACCAGGCCTGTAAGGGAGGGCAGTTAGGGGCAATTGGGCTGGCAGGG